TGCTCCAGCTCTGCCTCTTCCTCCTCCTCTCCCATTATTTCCCAACGTTAACCCCTCATCTGGCTCTGAGCTGTGACCTCCCGCAAACCACTGTTGTAAATCTAAACTAAGCCCTTTGTGGCGTAGGGCCCTCGTATTTATGGGACCACCTCTCCTGGTATGCCCCACAGAAGACCTTAAGGTCCATGAATAACCATAGTTTAGAGGTCCCGGGCCCTAAGGAAGTCAGACTATCCTCCACCAGGGCAAGGGCCTTTTCAATGATGGCTCCGACCTGGTGGAATGCTCTGTCCCATGAGACTAGGGCCCTTCAGGATTTATCCTCCTTCCATCGGGCCTCCTTCCGCCTGGCCTTTAATTTGAATTAAGCCTGATCTTTTATTTCCCTTCCTGAGGCATTCTTAAAGTAAAGGAAGGATTGAACTCTGATTAATAAGAATACACACAGAAGCTTGAACCAGCAAGAATCTGGGAAGGGTGCGTATAATAATCTCTCTCTCTGTCTCTCTCTCTCCACCCCTCGGCCCAGGTCGTTTTATTCACAAAAGAACTTTTTACAGAGTGTTCATAAGAACCAATCAGATTTCTTCTGAGCATTTCAACAGACCCCACGTGGGGACAAAGTTAAACTACCAAAACTAATTAAGCATGGGGTAAACAAAGAACAGAACTACAAAGGAGAGCATTTGGCAACCCCGGAGGTGATAAACAAGCAATATACATTATAAGGAGGATGGCCAGGAGGACAGCGATCATTATCACCTTCATGTGAGATCTGTTTCCTGGCCCTAAGATTAACATCCTAAGATTAACATATCATAAAGGCTACTTCAAAGAAACTGCCCACTGTCTTTGATGACCCAGGAGCCTGCCTAAGTGTGTACGTGACTTGTGAAGAGAGAGAAATGGGCAGTAGAGGAAATGGCCAGAGATGCAGAGGGTTGTAGGATTTGATCAGAAATTATTGTCAATGTATCAAACCCAGTCAACACAATGCATTCATCGTGGACACAATGGCTCGATGCATATTTTATAATTCCTCATAGTAATCTCACCTGACCCCACACTCTGGATATTTGCACTCCTACACCTTCCCTTCTTTTCCCTCCCCCTCCCCTTTTATGAAGATTACCCGCTCTGAGACCCCACAGCTAATTCTCCCCTGGCCTCCTCGCTGGCCCAAGTAGGACTAATTCAGCCAGCTAGCCCTGGTGACTATCTAATGCTTATTAGATGGATTTCTCCCAAATTGATTTCTGAACTTTGAATTTTATTGTTATTCATGTTTTCATACTGTATTTTATGCTGCTTATACAATTAAGTGTTTTAAATTTGTTGTTAGCCGCCCTGAGCCCGGTTTTCTGAACTGGGAAGGGTGGGGTATAAATAAAAAATGTTGTTGTTGTTGTTGTTGTTAAATTGTCTTCCTCTTCTCTGGGAGGTTCAGGCTGGGGAAGCGATCTCCACCATTCCTCCCCTGTCCTGTGCCTGACAGTCGGCCACTGTGAGAACAGGATTCTGGACTTGATGACAGCTTTGGCTTAATCCAACAGGGTTCTATCTAGACCAGCCTTTCTCAACCTGTGGGTCCCCAGATGTTGTTGAACTACAACTCCCATCACCCCTAGCTAGCAAGGCCAGAGCTCAGGGATGATGGGAGTTGTAGTCCAACAACATCTGGGGACCCACAGGTTGAGAACCGCTGATCTAGACAAATTCAAGGAGAATGAAGCTACCAGTGGCTATAACAAAAAAATTCCTTCCAGTAGCACCTTAAAGACCAACTAAGTTAGTTCTTGGTATGAGCTTTCGTGTGCATGCACACTTCTTCAGATACACACCAGTGGCTATGTCAGAGTAAGCCTCTGAATAACACCAGTTGCTGGGGGTTGCATCCAGGGCAGATCCTGTGTACTCAGATGCCACTGAGTTCAGCGGGGAGCTCACTCCCTGTTAATTGTGTATCAGATTGCAATCTCTGAGCTGTCAACCGGGAAAATCCAGGAGAGGCAAAAGGAAGAACTTCTTCACACAACACATACTTAAAGTGTGCAATTCACTCCCACAAGATTGAGTGATAATGGCCATCAGTTTGGACAGATTTGAAAGAAGGACTGGGCAGATTCACAGCTGTCAGTGGTTTCAGGTTACCTCCAGTGTCAGGTGGTATATGCTTCTGAATACCAGTTGCTCGGAGCTGCAAATGGAGAGAACTGCTGTTGCACCCAGGTCCTGCTCGCCAGTTTTCCCTGGGCATCTGGTTGACACTCTGAGAAGATGATGCTGGTCTAGATGGGCCTTTGGCCTGATTCAGGATGGCTACCAACCCTTTAGGTCAGGCATGTCCAAAGTCTGTTTCAGGGGCCTAATCCAGCCCCTGTGGCAGTACAGTGGTACCTCTGGATATGAATGGGATCCATTCCGGAGCCCTGTCCGCATCCTGAAGTAAACGCAATCCATGTCTGCGCGTGCACAGGTCGCGATTCGCTGCTGCCGCGCATGCGTGTGATATCATTTTGACCGTCTGCGCATGCGTGAGGGGTGAAACCCGGAAGTAATGCATTCTGTTACTTCCGGGTCGCCACAGAGCGCAACATGAAAGCGCTCAACCTGAAGCAACTTCAACCCAAGGTATGACTGTATATGTCCTAAAAAAATCTCAGCAACTTCAATCCTAAAAAAAGCTCAACTTTGGTTGGTCCTCACGCATGTTCACTTCATCAAACTTGCTCCTCTTTTTAAAAAGTTTGGGCACCCCTGCTTTGGGTAATTGCTTCCATTATCCAACTGCTGTTATCATCTCCTGACATCCATGTGGAATTAACCCTTCTCCAACATAAGCTCATTAAGTCTCTGTACTGGAGGCGCCAGCTTGCAAGGGTGATTAGGGGGCCAATGTTGCTCGTGTGATGTCCCGACGTCACTCGTGTGACGTTAGTACATTGGGAGGAGCCACGAGTGGAGACAGATGTGGTAGCCCTCCAGATCCAGGGATGACCTCGTTGTCCTCTGCTGGGCAATCATGTACAGCTGCTCTACTACCAATTGGGTCAGGAGAGGCTGAGGCAGCCCCTGGGTCTAGTAACCCACCGACGTCTCCCGAGCTGCAGAGACTCAGGTCTGAGAGAAGGAGAGACCTGAGTACTCGCAGGAGGAGTGCTCGCCTTCAGGCGAGACAGGGAGGTTGAGTCGCCGGGGGATCAGGACTGGCTGTTACCCCATCAGAGATAAAAGGCTGCCGCACCCCGCCCCAGGTTGCGGGAGCAATATTGCTGCTTGCTGGAACCTGCCTGAGTCCCTGTGCCTGACCTTGCCTGGTTTCCTGCCTTGACCCTGTCGGACTGACTCCTTGCGGAATCCTTGGATTTGGGACTGGACCTGGACCGCATGGCTCTGGTTAACTCCCGGGCCCAGCACAAGTGGCCAGTGGCTTCTCCTTTGCCTCCTCCTGGTACTGCCACTGGCAGGAGGCTGCTTTGACTCTCCTTCCCCTCCGTGGAGAACGAGGATTCAGCCACTGGAGTCCGCACTGCAGTTGGCTCCACACTTCACCTCCGCACTTTTGGAACACTGGGGGGCGGGTCCTGGCTTCAACCCCCAAAATATGCGAAATGGACCCAGCCCCCTGGAGCTGGCCCTCTGCTTTGTATTCTTCTATGTGATAACCCTTCACTGCTCCTGAATACCCTTCACTGCTCCTGAATGTTGACGACAGCATGAAATCATGAATCATACTGGGCTAGATTGTCCTGACTTCACAGGGCTGTTGTGGCGATAAAGCAGAGGGAATGGCTTTGTTTACTACCCTTAACCCCTAGAGAAAGGGTCATCTTAGGAACATAGGAAAATGCCTTATGCTGTGTCAAGCCATTGGGTCATCTCTCCCAGGTTTCAGGCAATTCCCGCCCCACCTGGAGTTGTTGGGGATTGGACCTGAGACCTTATGCATGCAGAGCAGGCGCTGTTCCACTGAGCTACAGCTTTTCCTGAGTGTCAGGAATGAGCCAGTTCTAAGCGAAGGGTTACAGCCAAATGCAGAAAGCAGCCAGGAACAGGGAGGCTTTGATGTTAGGCAGGCAGGGAGAGAGAGCTGGCAGCTGCAGAAATTGGCTCTTCCTGACCTTGACGGGCTAGCTGATAAGACAGTAGCTGAGAGCAGGCTAGAACACTGCCAAAGCACGCTGGAAGCTCAAATGGGCACGAATAGACAAGGAGACAGTTTGTTGGAAAAGGAATAGTTGGGCACTAATCTAATCTCTCCAAGGAGTCAGCAAATGGAAGGGCTTCTAGACAGGAAGCAAAACAAACGGTGCAAGGGGTGTCGTTTCAATATATTCTGCAAATCCCGGAAGCAATCTTCAGAAGGTTCATCATGAGTAATGATTCAGGAGGCTTTCTTAGAGCTGTCCGGAGCTATCTGTTTGTTTTTGCAATAAATCCTCCTTTTTAATTATCTACGCTCCCTATATTATCAAGCTGGGAACCTGGACTCCTGATGCTTAGCTGCAAGATGTCCATTACTTCTCCCAAGTGCTATTTTCTGGGGGGCGGGGGGGGGAGGATGACAGAACTCACCACGAATGCCTCTCATGTTCTCTTACAATGGCAATGATGCCTGCCTGAGAGGTACAGGAACTGAGTTCCAGTGAGTTCTGGCTGAAATAAAGCCCTGCATGTCCCACGCCCAACCCAGGCTGTTTCCTCTCTCGGAATTAAGCAGAGCCACCGATTCCAAAACATTCTGTACATCTCTTTATTTACACCACAGCAATGTTGATTCTAAGCTCCCCCTTGTGGAATTCATGTGTAAATATATTAACATATTAACCAACCACCATGATGAATCCCAACCATCTAGAGCAGGCACGTCCAACTCCCAAGAGACTGTGATCTACTCACAGTATAAAAAAACTGGCATTGGTCTACCCATTGTCATTGGAGGATGGACCAGAGTTGCTGAGCTTTTTTTAGGGAGCCAAATGTGTTGGTTTTTTTTGGGGGGGGGGGTTTACAAATCACCAGGGGACAAAAGATCAACCAGGATCAACCAGGAACACCCCATGATCGGCCAGTAAGTCGTGATCGACCTGTTGAACATGTCTGGTATCTGGAACGCCCAAATCATATACGCTCAAAGCAAACTCAGTCTCGTTATGTTGCCAAACCGCACTGCACACATGCAAGAGGGAGACACCAGCAGGTTAAGGGGGACGCCAAAATTAGCAGAAGTGCAAAAGATCATTAATGAGAGAACCGCTAAGAAGAGTTTTATTTAAAATCCTAAAAACAGCACAGTACGTACCTGCTGAGCATGCATAGCGGCCACTGAACAATGAGTGTCTTTTGGAGAGAGGAAATGGAAAACAGGGCAATGGCGAAATGAAATATCCTGGTGAAAGGCATGTCTTAATGGATGGAAACCTCAACAGTTGCAGTCCAGACTGTGGCATTTTGTTGTAAGGTCTCACTTGGAGCCGCTTTCATTCCTCTCTAACACTTCCAGCACTGCAGCGGATGAGTGAAGAAGTCTTCAGTTGTGCCTGTAATTGGGCCACTTGGAAATTTCCGAACGGATCGGCTCTCCGGGAGAAACAAGATTACTGACGTCGCTGTGTGCTATTACGAGGTAATCTGGAGACAGGTACCCGACCTTGACAGAGAAGTCAAGCAGGCATTTCAAAGCTTTCCACGCCGCTTGGTTGGGAGACCTCTCTGGAAGAGAAAAAGATGCTGGCATGAGACTCCAGAGTTTTTACAAACACACCCGTTAGCTATGCAATATTTTTTTTTAGGAGCATAAGAAGAGCCCGCTGGATCAGGCCACATGCCCATCTGGACCAGCATTCTGTTCTCACAGTGGCCAACCAGATTTCCCTGAGAAGCCACTGGTCTGATCCAGCAAGGTTCTAAGTCCATTTTCTAGTATCCTATTTCACAGTAGCTAGCCAGACGTCTCTGGTTAGCCCACAAGCTGAAAATGAGTGCTATAGCGCTCTTCAACTCTTGTTTCCCATTGACCAGAGGTGGACCACAGACATAGATGTTGATAGCTTTATTCTCCATGAATCTGCTTAATCTCCTTTTCAACAAAGGGACTCAATAGATCTATGTGAATGGACTCATCGCTCTAGAACATTCTAGAATGTCTCCAACCATGCGCCATGTTTTCAGAGCACACACCTGGAGGGCAGGTGGGGGAAAGCAGGGCTGTTGCATCAAAGCATACAGTGGTACCTTGGGTTACATACGCTTCAGGTTACATATGCCTCAGGTTACAGACTCCGCTAACCCCGAAATATTACCTCAGGTTAAGAACTTTGCTTCAGGATGAGAACAGAAATCGTGCTCTGGCGGTGCGGCAGCAGCAGGAGGCCCCATTAGCTAAAGTGGTGCTTCAGGTTAAGAACAGTTTCAGGTTAAGAACAGACCTCCAGAACAAATTAAGTTCTTAACCCAAGGTACCACTGTACCTCAGTTTCTTCTGTGAAACAAAAACTGGAGAACATTCACTTCTGAAAGATTGCTCTGGAGCAAGCTGACTCTTTCACACACATCCAGGCCCAATTTAGGAATGTATCACAGAGCAACCTTTGACTTCAGAGGACCAACACCCTCCCCTTGAGGACAATGCAAACTGTGTTCCCTTGAGAACCTCCCAAGAGTGGCATTCTTCCAGAGATGCCTCTGCACCATCCCATACAAAGCATGCAGTCCAAAGGGTGAGGTCATAAGCGAACATAAGCCTGGCTGCTGGATCGACCCAATGGCCCCATCTAGTCCAGCATCCTGTTCCCACAGTGGCCAACCAGATGCTTCCATGGGAAGCCTGCAAGCAGGACAACAGCAACTCCCCCCATTCAAGATTTCCAACAACTGGTTTTGAGATGCTTACAGCCTCCAGCATGGGTAAAACATAGAACAAAATAGAATTTTATTATTACGGTCACAGACCAGTTGCGGGTCACTTACAATATCAGGAAACTCATAAAACACAACAGGAATACATTAAATTGCAATTGGGTATAACAGAGACAATTCAGATATAGCGGCAGTTTAAAAAATATGTTAAATCTTGATCACTAAAATATAACCTAAAATTATTATTTAAAACCTTAATCATTTTGGTAGTACAGCTTGTTCCCTAAGTTTTATGGCAGCCGCACCGAAGTTGGTCACCCTTAGCGTGATCTCTAGATCCTTGTCCTCTAGCGTGATCTCTAGATCCTTGTCCTCTACCAGGAGTTTTAGACATTGAAATTCGGACCCATTTGGAGATTTTTGAGTAACAGGAATGATAAATACCAAGTGTATATCCCCGTGGAAACGGCAGCGTAACAAGACATGAGAGACAGTTTCTACCTCCGTCAAGCCACAGGGGCGACTCGTTCTGCGTATGGTTTACCCTCGAATCTGCCCTGCATTAAGGCAGATGGCAGCACGTTGAATCTAGCGAGGGTAAATGACCGTCTGTATTTGGGTATTTGTAATTTTGACAAGTAATTTGCTGGGGTAAATCCTCTCCCATTATCTTTTATTGCTTTTATTCATCTCGCTCACGTGGCATTGCAGTTCCACAGCCCAAATTCGTTGGCGGATTATTGCTCTAGCTTTCTCATAACCTACAGCTATCAGGGCCTGTGGGGAAAACCCCAAGCCTCTTAGCTTTCCATGCAGTGTAGCTTTCCATTTAGGTTGGTAGGAATCCAGTTAAGGGTGCCAACCCAACAGGGATAAAACAGGGGTAAAACATAGTCATTGTGGCTTGTAGCCACGGAGAGCCTTCTCCTCCATGATCCTGCTGGAGATGTTTGTCATTCTGAGTCTCAACGGTGGTGACTCTTTGTGGGTCATTTGTGGGAGCATCAGCTTGAGGAGGAGACCAGGAAACCTCCAGATTTTGCTGATCTACAACTCCCTGGCCACTGGGCAGTGCTATGTGCGGCTGATGAGAACAATATTATTGGGAGAGTCAGTGGGAATCTATGGGCCCTTTTTATGATGGTAGATAGACCACTTATGGGGGAAGGAGATGAAAGCAGGCCAGCAGCCCAGTGGGGTTCAGCCCACTGACTTCAGCTTTTCCTAGGGCTGCTGTACGGCTGGGTTTTCCCGGCCACATCCAGGAATCAGGCAGTGAAATCAGGCAACTGGGTGGAAACAGTGGCGTAGCGTGGGGGGTGCAGGGGGGGCCAGCCGCACCAGGCGCAACATCTGGGGGGGCGCTCGCAGCCTCCGGAGTCGCCGAAGAGCCTCGGGCGCAGGCTGTAGCAGAGCCCCATGTCTCGCGGAACCGACGAGCTGGCAGCGGCTCTCAGCGCTCGCCGCGGTCCCTGCGTGTGAGGGCCGCGGAGGGCGCGCCAGGCAGCCCCTCCTCACAGCCCCGCCGCCGCTGCTGCTGCTGCAACTGCTGGGCTATGTTGCATTTTCCTCGCCTCTCTGACCTCCTCCTCCTCCGTCGTTTGGGCGGCAGCACCAGTGGCAACTCGCCTCAGATCACCTGACACAAACCCCCCGCCGCCGCCATGGCTACCTTACCGTAAATACCCAGCCCAGGCAGCATCAAGAAGAAGCTGGCAGCGGCGGCAGGTTAGGGTTTAGGGGGCGCAAATTACTTGCCTTGCCCCGGGTGCTGACAACCCACGCTACGCCACTGGGTGGAAATGGCATCTGGGAAAACCCAGACGCATGGTAAGTAGGGCATTGTTTTAAAAGAAATGCTTAAAAAATCCAAGAAAGGCCCCAAACTTTGTTGTTGTTTTGCAGAGGGGGCAGGTGTTCCTAAAAAAAGCTCAGTGATTTTGTCCAGATCTTCACTTTGGGAAAGATGGCAACCCTGTGCGCATCATTATTTGATGTTACCAACCCACTGATGGTGACATGTTTTCCTAGGCTGTGATGGAACACCCTTCCACAAATGAGACAATCCACTCACCAGGGATGCTGGTTCCTAGGGGCCTCTGAGCCATTTTGGGGCCCCTATATTTGGGGGGTAGGGTCTGGGCCCCCCGATATCCCAAAAGTGCAGGGCCAAAGCACAGAACTGAGCACAGCATGCCTCCAGCAGTCAGCTCGTTCTCCACTCCCAGCTCCACCCAACGTCCTGACGTCACACGTGAGACACCCTTTTAAACTATGGGGAGGGCATTGTTTTTGTCTGCTACCATGTTATGTTTTCCTGTTTTTTATATATTCTAAACCACCATGTGATCCTCAGATGACAGATCAAATAAATAAATAGGGACCCCATAGTTTTGGCTCTAGTCCCCTGTATCATCAAGGTGCTGATCAGAGTAAGGGAGGGTGACATGAGAGACAGACAGAGAGAGAGAGAGAGAGAGAGAGAGAGAGAGAGAGCTTTTTTCTATTAAAAAAAATGTTTAGGGGTACTCTCATTTTCCTACTCATATTGAAATACTGCCCCTCACTGAGACCAAACTTAGATTCACAAAACATTTAGGGGTATGCGTACCCCTGCATCCCCCCAGAAAAAATCACTGGTTAGATAATAATACTAATAATTAATAATAATAATTTATTATTTATACCCCGTCCATCTGGCTGGGTTTCCCCAGCCACTCTGGGCGGCTTTCAACAGAATATTAAAATACAATAATCTGTTAAACATTAAAAGCTTCCCTAAACAGGGCTGCCTTCAGATGTCTTCTAAAAGTCTGGTAGTTGTTTTTCTCTTTGACATCTGATGGGAGGGTGTTCCGCAGGGCAGGTGCCACTATCGAGAAGACCCTCTGCCTGGTTCCCTGCAACTTCGCTTCTCGCAGTGAGGGAACCACCAGAAGGCCGTCGGCACTGGACCTCAGTGTCCGGGCAAAATGAGGGGGTGGAGACGTTCCTTCAGGTATACTGGAGATAGATAGATAGATAGATAGATAGATAGATAGATAGATAGATAGATAGATAGATGATAGATAGAGATAGATAGATAGATAGATAGATAGATAGATAGATAGATAGATAGATAATAGATAGATAGATAGATAGATAGATAGATAGATAGATAGATAGATGATAGATAGATAGATAGATAGATGATAGATAGATAGATAGATAGATAGAGATAGAAGATAGATAGATAGATGATAGAGATTATAGATAGATAGATGATAGATAGATAGATAGATGATAGATAGATAGATAGATAGATAGATAGATAGATAGATAGATAGATAAGATAGATAGATAGATAGATAGATAGATAGATAGATAGATGATAGATAGATGATAGATAGATAGATAGATAGATAGATAGATGATAGATAGATAGATAGATAGATAGATGATAGATAGATAGATAGATAGATAGATAGATAGATAGATAGATGTAGATAGATGATAGATAGATAGATAGATAGATAGATAGATAGATAGATAGATAGATAGATAGATAGATAGATGATAGATGATAGATAGATGATGATAGATAGATAGATGATAGATAGATAGATAGATAGATAGATGATAGATAATAGATAATAGATAATAGATAATAGATAATAGATAGATAGATAGATGATAGATAGATAGATAGATAGATAGATAGATAGATAGATGATAGATGATAGATAGATAGATAGATAGATAGATAGATAGATAGATAGATAGATATAGATATTCCTCTGTTCCTATTAAAGTTAACCCTTGATCCATCACCATGGGGACTGGAATCTTACTTTGTTTCTAGGCATGAGGCCATAGTTCAGTGGTAGAGCACCTGCTTTGCATGCAGAAGGTTCCAGGTTCAATCCCCAGAATCTCCAGGTAGGGCTGGGGAAAGACCGTTCTCTGAAACCTTGGAGATCCCCCACCAGTCGGTGCGGGAAATACTGAGTTAGATGGGCCAATGATCTGACTCGGTTAAAGGTCTCCTAAGGCATGGATCTACTCACCTACGAAGGTGCCAATGAAAGCGATGCCAAGGGACAAATCGTTGTAGCCGTAGGTGTGAGATCCAACATTGCGCCAGCCGCGCCCTTCATACACAAGCCCATCCTCGCCAATCAGGAAGCTGGAAAGAAGGAAGGAAGGAAGGAAGGAAGGAAGGAAGGAAGGAAGGAAGGAAGGAAATATATTCTTGTGAGCTGCTGTGACTCCTATACTGCAAGACTCCAAAGACTAAGGATTGGGAGAAATCTGCATCTCCTCAAAGAATACACCATAATCGAATCCTACAAAATCTACTTTTCCCCCTGAATTTTACAATCCAGTTCTCCAACAATCCAGTTCTCCAATCCATATATATATATATATATATATATATATATATATATATATATATTTGGAAAATGAAAACAACATACAAGAATGCATCATATTAAACTGTCTGCAAAGAAACTGAAACAACAGGCAAAATATTGAAATTTAATGCTAATATATTAATTACATTTAATTAAAATAATGTTTTAATTAAAATACAAATTGTAACAAATGTTCATGATGGCTTTTTAAAAATAACAGCAGCAGCAGCAAAGCAAAGTGGAGAAGTAGCAAACTGAACTTAAGATATGGAAGAGGCACAGAGAGAAATTGAACAGATATGGCTTCTTACATTGAAGGGTGTGAAAGGAAGTGAGCGAGAGATCAAGTGTGCCCTTCTTATCTCACTTTTCCCCTTTACACCTCTTGTTTCGTTTGCTAGACAGATGCAAATACCTCGTCCAAAAGAGGCCTCAAAGTGACTAATCTTTTTAAAGCCATACAAGACAGTGACCTTCACAGCCTCTTGTGGGAGTTAGTGCGATCATTTAATGATTTGTTGTTATTAAAATTTATTAGTTGCTTTTTTTTTTACCAAAAGCAACTGAAATAGACTTACAGCAGAAAAAGCAAACAACACGTGCATATATTATTGCTACGCATGTGTTATAAACCTAGCAAAATGGATCGTGCTTAAAGTCGTCTAGGTTCTTCAATACATGCAAAATTCTAGTCTAAAAGCAGAAATACAGCAGCAATTTCCTATATAGAAAAACAAACAACAAGGACTCACAGCAATATGAATTAAGTGTGATTGTAGTAAAACTTGGAGCTCTTTATAAACAGCTACTGACTTGCTAGGAACGCGGGTGGCGCTGTGGGTAAAACCTCAGCGCCTAGGACTTGCCGATCGCATGGTCAGCGGTTTGAATCCCCGCGGCGGGGTGTGCTCCCGTCGCTCGGTCCCAGCGCCTGCCAACCTAGCAGTTCGAAAGCACCCCCGGGTGCAAGTAGATAAATAGGGACCGCTTACCAGCGGGAAGGTAAACGGTGTTCCGTGTGCTGCACTGGCTCCCCAGATGCAGCTTGTCACGCTGGCCACGTGACCCAGAAGTGTCTGCGGACGGCGCCGGCTCCCGGCCTATAGAGTGAGATGAGCGCACAACCCTAGAGTCTGGCAAGACTGGCCCGTATGGACAGGGGTACCTTTACCTTTACCTTACTGACTTGCTATGTTATTCTGGAATCCAACACCTTTCCCAGTCACTTTTTAAATAAAAAACAGAGTTAATGGTTTACAATGATGTGCTGTGTGAAGATGTCCTTTCTTTAGTTTGTCGTGTATCTTGCAACATTCAATTCCACTGGAATATCCCCAAGTTCCAGGGATATGAGGGCTCATCGCAAACTCAATTGAATTACTAACTGGCGGGTTGGGGCTCACAATACCTGAATCTATTTTATTGCCTCAGTTCCTCTGTTGTTTGCAAAAGGGTTTCAGGTTATTCTGAGCCTATGCAACCCACCTCTGGAGTAGTAAGCTCTGTGGGGCAAGGACCTCCCTCTTTGCTTTATGTTTGAGCTTCTAGTTCTTATAGTTGTTGAGATATACAGTGGTACCTCGGGTTACATACGCTTCAGGTTACATACGCTTCAGGTTACACACTCCGCTAACCCAGAAATAGTACTTCGAGATCAGAACTTTGCTCCAGGATGAGAACAGAAATCGTGCTCTGGCGGCGCGGTGGCAGCAGGAGGCCCCATTAGTTAAAGTGGTGCTTCAGGTTAAGAACAGTTTCAGGTTAAGAACGGACCTCCAGAACGAATTATGTACTTAACCCGAGGTACCACTGTATAGAGAAACCCATTCAGGCAGTTTGTGTGTGTGTGTGTGTGTGTATACACACACACACACACACACACAGTCGTACCTTGGTTCCCGAATGGCTTAGTTGCAGAACAAAACGGCTCCCAAACACCCCAAACCCAGAAGTGTTCCAGTTTGCAAACGTTCTTCGGAAGCGGGACATCCGACGTGGCTTTTCCTTGAGTGCAGGAAGCTCCTGTAGCCAATCGGAAGCTGAGCTTTGGTTTTCGAACGGTTTCGGAAGTCGAACAGACTCCCAGAATGGATTAAGTTCGAGAACCAAGGTACCACTGTAGGTTATTTTATTGTTAGGTTGACATTTGAAGCGGCTTACGCAAAGTCAAACAGCGATCTCGGCTAACAGAACTGCAGCAAGGAAAAGAGATAATTAAGATACTTTAGTACAAGAATAAAGAACAACGCTCTTACTTATAGGCCACATCGCACCACCCTTTGAGGCCCAGGTGGTAATCCTGAGCGTTCCTGACTTCTCTGGAGCATTCGGCTCGCGTTTTGCACGGATTCTGAGCTGTGTGGATGATGATAACGTACTCAGGCGGGAGGTCCTTCAAAGGTTCAGAGCAGTTGGCCGGCTTTGCACCCCACTTGGAGGGGGTGATGAGTTTGAAGCACCCCGAAGCTGGGAACACACAAAAGGAAAACTGTGAAGTGGTGCAGGTGTGCGAAACCAGGGCTCACAGCGTTCCTTCCAAGCTCCACCACTCCTTTTGATTCCAATACAAGCCAACCGATGGCTGAAATACTAACTGAGGTCTCCTCAATGAATTATGGCAGTGCCGGATTTGCGTATAAGCTAAACAAACTGTAGCTTAGGGCCCCACTCCCTTGGGGACCCCCCCCAAAAAATTAAAGGAAACTGGATGTCCATTTCCAATATATAAGATAAAAAACAAATAAAATAAAACCTACATACAGCAACAGTGTTTTGTGCTGTGTAGGCTCCTATTTGTGATGTGCAAATGGCTTTAGATACCTATTAGGTCCATAAATTACCATATATGGGATGCAGGTGGCGCTGTGGGTTAAACCACAGAGCCTAGGACTTGCCGATCAGAAGGTCGGCAGTTCGAATCCCCACAACAGGGTGAGCTCCCGTTGCTCGGTCCCAGATCCTGCCAACCCAGCAGTTCGAAAGCATGCTGGTGTGAGTAGATAAATAGGTACTGTGAGAATAGGGCCTGCCTCGAACATCACAAAGAGAGTGGATGTGCCACGTAAAAGCTGGCAGTGGAAAATTTCAGAACCTGAAATAGTTGTGTAACAGGCACATGTTCCTCCGGTAAAAAGAGGAAGGAAACAAGCTTAAGACCTTGCGATTCCTAAAAAGGCAATGAGTTAAAATGGACAGTACATTGTATTAGAAATATGTTATTTTGTAACAGGAAGATTGTAAGCCAAGCCTCCGAAGGAGGGGCGGCAGTTAGGGCTTAAAACCTTCATGCATTGCTTGAACGGGGCTCTTCGGTCACACGGGGATGTGATGGGAGCCCGCCTTTGCAAACGCGACCCAATAAATATATTTGGTTAACCAAGCTAAAGGTCTCAGTCCGTTTATCCACGTTTAGGATTTTCTCACAAATTTGGCGCCCAACGTGGGGCTCCTTACCGTCCAACGGGGGAATCGGTGGAGACGAGGGGCTTGAGGCGCCTCTCCTTGATTTCAGGGAGGTCCGTCCTCTCCACCCGACCCGCCGTGGGCGAAAGGGGCTAGACGAGACCCACAGGAAAGTAATGATCGGTAGGATCTCCGCCGTTTGAAATACGGGCAGGAGAACTTGCAGGGACGCCTGCCTGTCCACTACCTGACGAAGGACTGGACTGACCGACAGGTGAGTAGAAGGGAAGAAGCAAAAGGGGGATTGGAAAACTGGGAGGGAGACAGAACTCCCTGGTGAAAGAGAAGTCCAAACGGACGCGTGAGAGTGGACCGGATTCCTGGTAGTCCGGCGGGAGGATTAGCTTGCGGTTCCGTCCTCCCGCGAGGGAAACGGCCAGGCGATTCCGCGTGTTTGTGTGTGTGATTGGGGAGTATTTTTGTGACAATGGGGAAGGGACAGAGTAAGTCCGCCCGCAGAGAACGAGAGTCTGAAAGAAAGGCGGCAAATGACGCCGGAAAAAGGAAACGTATATGTCAGGGGTTCAGGAGCAAAGGTGGAGCAGGGAGGGCATGAGTCAGGAGTGGCCACACCTCCATCGGGGAGCGAGGAAACGGTCAGACGGAAAGTGGAAAGTTGGGCGCGCGCGCCAAGTTCAAATGCACAGGAAAGTGACGCAGTGGGCAGCCCTGAAAGAGAGCCAGGTCCTAAAGCCCGGCGCAAGGAGACAGGAGGGTCCGGGGGGTCGGCGTCAGAAGAATCCAGGAAGGAAGAGACCCCGGGGGGTAGAGGGACCCAGAGGAGAACAGTCAGGCGGAAAAGGTGGAGCAGGGCTAGGATATTAAGTTGGTGCACAAGGGGCGGAGACTCAGACGGAGCTTCGCCGATCTAGCCACTAGACGTAGAGTTGCACGCAGCAGCTTGAGAATGGAAACTGTAACTCAATAAAGACTTTTACTTAATGATAGCTGGCTAGCGTGATCCTCTGTGAGCTGGGATCTGGAAGCAGCTCTGACAGTATAGATCCCAATTCACCCCTGGGACAACTTCTGCAGCAATGGTCCGAGGAAAATTTACAAAAATATACCCGGAACCTGGTTAAAGTCACCATGATAAGACTTTGCCGGGATCTGTGGCCCGGTTATCCGATTGGCCCAAATGGGGCCTATCGTTGGAGCCCGGAGGGGGAGGTGGATAAATATTGGATGAACCAGTTGAGAGCAGTCAGGAGGGGCGGCGCCCGGGTCCAGCCCCACAACCAGGACCGGGCCCGCAGTTGGGGTTGGGCACGGATGCCTCCAGAACCCAGCCTAGTGCTCCAGAGACTAAGGAGGGGCCGGAATCCGAAACGGAGCTCCCTCCCCCTTATTCTCTGGACCATGGACGTCTGAGAAAGGAACTAGAAAACCTGAATAAGGATCTACAGAATTTGCCCATGGATCGCACCCATGGGTCAGGTGGACGGAAGCGTCCGCCGGCAACCCAGGGGGGGACACCCATAGCTGCAGTTTGGCCATCTCCCGCCAGTTCTCCCGGAGTGAGTAATTACCCTTTGAGGGAGGTCCCGGGAGGAGTGAATGATGGAGGAGCAGCCGTAATGGTTCACGTGGTAAGCCCTTTGAAGCCCAGTGAACTACGAGAACTGAAGAAAACCCTACCTAAGTTACATGAGAGCAGTCAGGAGGTGGCGGAGCAATTGGAATTGTGGATGGGACCACATACCCACACATATACGGAATTAATGTATGTGTTGGGGTACTTGTTCACTCCGGAAGAAAGACAAATGATCCGCACAGCGGCCATTAGAGCATGGGACGCAAGACACCAAGGGGCAGCGGGGGCCGTAGCGGGAGACGTAAAATTTCCTCTGGCAGAACCTGCATGGGATATAAACGTTCAGGCTGATCGAACTAGGATGAATGATTTAAAATACATGATATTGGAGGGCATACGTAAAGCGGTCCCCCAAACAAGAAACCTTACAAAAGCCTTTGAGGTCTGCCAGACGAAAGATGAATCACCCGGGGATTTCGCAGGTCGTATACGGGAACACCTTGTCAAGTATTCAGGAATCCAACCGGATACTGAAGCTTTTACCAACCTCCTGCGCATGCAATTTGTAACAAAGTCCTGGCCGGACATCCAGAAGAAGTTACAAAAATTGGAATGGCAGGACGCCACCATGACCGAACTGGTCAGGGCGGCACAGCAAGTGTTCGTTAATAGGGAAACGGCGAAAAACAAACAGAAATGTCAAATGATGGTGTCAGCCTTTCAGGCAGCGGCAAATAAACAAACACCGCAAGGGAACCTAGCAAGGAATATTGGGAAAAAAAAAAAAAAAAAATCCATGAAAGTGGCCATGGAGGAACCGAGGCCATGATTAACACTGCAAAGGCTCTGTATTGGAGTCCAGACATATGGGCAATGGCGCATGGGGTGGCTTGGAAATGTTTGATATGTCAAAAGGTAAATAAAACCAGGGCAAAGCAACGGGACAAAGGGGGTCGCCCCCTAGCTGTTTGGCCTTTTCAGCGGGTCCAAATAGATTTCACAGAGTTACCAGAGAAGGGAGGGATGAAATACCTGCTGGTACTGAAAGATCATCCTGGAACACATCATTCCCAGATATGGAATGATGGAGGCAATGGATTCCGACAGGGGAACCCATTTCACCCAACAGGTGCTTCAGGAAGTAATGCGGGCCTTGGGGGTGAGATGGGACCTACACACCCCTTGGCACCCCGAGAGTAGTGGAAAAGTAGAGAGAGCAAACGGGGAAATTAAGAAACATTTGACAAAGTTGTATTTGGAAAATGGGCTACCTTGGACGAAGAACCTCCCTCTGGCTCTTATGAGAATTCGAACAACCCCGAGAAAGGACACGGGGGTCTCCCCATTCGAGATGTTAATGGGAAGGCCCTATTTAGCCTGCTTGGGAAACCCCATTCCAGAGTTCCGAGACATGTTTTTGAGGAAATACCTGCAGACATTGTCCCAGTCTTTATTATCTCTTCACAGACGAGGTCTTCTGGCGCAGAGACCACCTCTCCTTGGAAGCCAACATCCCCACCAGCCTGGAGACTGGGTGCTCATAAAAACCTGGCGGACTGAAAAATTAACCCTGGCTTGGGAGGGACCGTACCAAGTTCTGCTGACAACTGAATCGGCAGTGCGGACCCAAGAGCACGGGTGGACACACTATCACCGGGTTAAGAAGGCACCACAGGACTGGACCGTTCGGGTCGACCCTAGCAACCCGCTAAAAATCACGATCCGACGAACCTAGGTCCAAAGGGGGATGAGCTCGAGGAGGAGAGGGATGGACTGGCCAAAGATGACCTGGACACTTTTGCTGTGGGCTACGGCCGCAATCGCGGGCGAACATGCCTGCACGGACTGCATCCAAATTACTAAAACTGGGACTGTTGTCACACGGACATTGATGTATTATAATGTTGCTCCGGAATGTGAAAAGGAACTAGAACCCTGTGTCCATAACCAAACCCAATATTTTAGGTGCAGAACTAAGGAAAACAAGACCGAGTGTTATGAGCCCTTAGCAGTAGGGCCCATTACATCCAGTATATATGTGTATGGATATAAGGGAGGAACGGCAAACAAGGCTGGAGAAAGAGCACATACAAAGGCAAGGGTATATAGCCCACAACATTACGAGAGGTGCAGATAAGGTACATGTTTGTTTTGATGCATGCACCGCTATCACAAAGGGGCAGGGGCCTAACGATCAAGCTGGAGTTACTTGCGGGTCACTGAGCTGGGAAAGGTCTTACCTCCAGGAAAATAATTATTTATTCCAGCAGATTGCCGGTTCTAACGTAGGGACCACCCGGACGATCAATTATTGGTATACTAAGGGGGTTGATGAATCACCCCCGTATTGGGGTCCGGAAGGTGTCAATATTACCCGAGCAGGAATTTCCATGGCCTGTAGCTCGGGAAAATGCAACCCTGTGTGCCTATGGACTAGGGAACTGCCCTCCACTAGCCCCAAATGGGTTGGGGATAGATGGAACTGGAAAGGATCCCTATGGGTATTTGATTATAATGATTCACACTACCAAGGTAAGCAAAAAGCTTATATCAGTATATGAAAGTTTTGAAGAAGAAATGCAACAACTAAACAATTTACCTTTACCCCCAAAAGCATATAATATGTTTCTAAGCCTGGCCGAAACTATAGCAAAAGAACTAACAGTAAGGAATTGTTTTGTGTGGGGGGGGGGACAAACATGGGAAGGGCTGAATTTTAAGGAATTATTCGGCTCATGGTTCCCAAAGTTGCCAGGGTTGCAAGCCATCGTAGCCCTAATTGGATTAATAGCCGCAGGATGTGTATTGATCCCTTGTGTGTTACCTATCTTTGTCAGGGCAATCAACAACTCCCTCTCCCTGTTAGCACAGCGACACGCTGCCACCCAAATGATGGTAATGAGGTATGAACCTGTGCCTACAGAAGAGGAGGAAGGGAACCATTTGGATTTATTGTGTGAGTTCGAGGCAAGCATGAAAAAGAGGGGGGATTTGTGAGAATAGGGCCTGCCTCGAACATCACAAAGAGAGTGGATGTGCCACGTAAAAGCTGGCAGTGGAAAATTTCAGAACCTGAAATAGTTGTGTAACAGGCACATGTTCCTCCGGTAAAAAGAGGAAGGAAACAAGCTTAAGACCTTGCGATTCCTAAAAAGGCAATGAGTTAAAATGGACAGTACATTGTATTAGAAATATGTTATTTTGTAACAGGAAGATTGTAAGCCAAGCCTCCGAAGGAGGGGCGGCAGTTAGGGCTTAAAACCTTCATGCATTGCTTGAACGGGGCTCTTCGGTCACACGGGGATGTGATGGGAGCCCGCCTTTGCAAACGCGACCCAATAAATATATTTGGTTAACCAAGCTAAAGGTCTCAGTCCGTTTATCCACGTTTAGGATTTTCTCACAGTACCACGGCGGGAAGGTAAACGGCGTTTCCGTGCACTGCTGTGGTTTGCCAGAAGCAGTTTAGTCATGCTGGCCACATGACCTGGAAGCTGTACGCCGGCTCCCTCGGCCAATAAAGCGAGATGAGCACCGCAACCCCAGAGTCGTCTGCGACTGGACCTAACATTCAGGGGTCCCTTTACTTTTACCTTTAGGCTCCTATTTGTTATGTGCTTTAGATACCTATTAGGTCCATAAATTACCATATAGCATATATTCAACACAAAAACCAGTGACAATTTGTCGTCGACAAAGGACAGCTGGAGATATAAAGGGCCCCATTACCTTCAGCAGCTTAGGGCTTCATCAAACCTAAATCCGGCCCTGAATTATGGTAACTCTATCCCCATGCATTATCATGTGGTACAGTCATGCTGATGATCATACCACATCCTCCTGTTGTTTCGATTGGCTTTCAAGCTTACCTTGTGACAGAGCACACAGAAAAAGCAGAATAATCTCTTGGCTAGCCATCATCTTGCTATTAAAGACCTGCGGGAAATAAAATATTGATGGGTTAAAGCAGGTCTAGAAAACATTATATATACTCCAAGTTTGGTATGAGAGATATTACAGTAGACAATGTTCTATGAACCCAAGAGATGGAAGGCTTACATTTAATCACAAGACTATTCATAATATATTTGCAGAATATTGTTCTGATTTGTATCAAATACCAACCTTTGGAGAAGACTGAGTTATATTTGGGAAATGTAAGACTGCAGTTTCAAAGCTGAAACAAAATAGATCCCCCCAGTCCAAATGAGTTTTGCACTTCTTTCTATTATTATTATTATTATTATTATTATTATTATTATTATTATTATTTGTATCCCACCCTTTATCCATAGATCTCTGGGCAGTTCACAGCATACCTGATGTGACTAATTTTGTTTAATGAGGTATGGCAGGGAAGCAGCACCCAAAGGACATGGAATGCTTCTCAGATTATTGTCTCACTCAAACCTGGACAAGATAGGCAGGAAGTGGGATCATACAGACCTTTCACTCTGCTTAATCAGGATTAAAGAAAATGATTATATCAGTTTTGGCATCTCATGTGTGCAGGGTGATTGCAACAATTGTGAATTTAGATCAGACAAGGTTCATACCCAATACACATACGGCAGCTCCAGTATGCTGTTTGTTAAATGTAACATTTGATTGTAGAAGGCGGCAAACTCCATTGGCTACAGATCCCTATAAAGCATTTGATTCCCTGGAATGGTGCTGCTTGCTGGGTATTTTGAACAAATACCAGTTGGAGGCTAAATCTACAGCAGCAACTGCTTAGTTGTATAAAGTGAATTCTGCCACAGTGTGTACCCATGAGGAGGAATTAAAGAACCTTTTAATGAGGGTGAAAGAGGAGAGCGCAAAATATAGTCTGAAGCTCAACATAAAAAAACCCTAAGATCATGGCCACTGGTCCCATCACCTCCTGGCAAATAGAAGGGGAAGAAATGGAGGCAGGGAGAGATTTTACTGTCTTGGGTTCCATGATCAGTGCAGATGGCGACAGCAGCCACGAAATTAAAAGACACCTGCTTCTTGGGAGAAGAGCAATGACAAACCTAGACAGCATCTTAAAAAGCAGAGACATCACCTTGCCAACAAAGGTCCATATAGTTAAAGCTATGGTTTTCCCAGCAGTGATGTATGGAAGTGAGAGCTGGACCATAAAGAAGGCTGATCACCAAAGAATTGTTGCTATTGAATTATGGTGCTGGAGGAGACTCTTGAGAGTCCCATGGACTGCAGGAAGATCAAACCTATCCATTCTGAGGGAAATCAGCCCTGAGTGCTCACTGGAAGGAAATATCCTGAAGCTGAGGCTCCAATACTTTGGCCACCTCATGAGAAGAGAAGACTCCCTGGAAAAGACCCTAATGTTGGGAAAGATGGAGGGCACAAGGAGAAGGGGACGACAGAGGACGAGATGGTTGGACAGTGTTCTTGAAGCTACCAGCATGAGTTTGACCAAACTGCGGGAGGCAGTGGAAGACAGGAGTGCCTGGCGTGCTCTGGTCCAGGGGGTCACGAAGAGTTGGACATGACTAAACAACAACAGTACCCATGATCAGGATTCCTCACTGACTTTTATTTGAAGGGGTACTAAACAGAGATGTCCCTGGTCCCCATTGCTCTTCACTCTTTTTGCATCTGCTGGCTGAATTTACAAGGGGACAATGCAAAGAACACTTGTTGAGTCTTTATGCTGGTGATACGGTGTTTATGTTGAGAGATCCTAACAGGGCTCTACTGGCAGCATCACCAAAATAAATTACATTTTGATGAAGCAGTAGGCCTGCATACAGATTTGGATGAATCTATTATTTGCCTTGGGACGCGGGTGGCGCTGTGGGTTAAAGCCTCAGCGTCTAGGACTTGCCGATCGAAAGGTCGGCGGTTCGAATCCCCGCGGCGGGGTGTGCTCCCATTGTTCGGTCCCAGCACCTGCCAACCTAGCAGTTCGAAAGCACCCCCGGGTGCAAGTAGATAAATAGGGACCGCTTACTAGCGGGAAGGTAAACGGCGTTTCTGTGTGCGGCTCTGGCTCGCCAGAGCAGCTTCGTCACGCTGGCCACATGACCCGGAAGTGTCTGCGGACAGCGCTGGCTCCCGGCCTATAGAGTGAGATGAGCGCACAACCCTAGAGTCTGGCAAGACTGGCCCGTACGGGCAGGGGTACCTTTATCTTTACCTTTTATTATTTCCTCACAGATTGTCCTTTGCCTCAGGAAGAGAGGGCAGGGGAGACAAGCGCAGCAGGGCTGGATTTCCACATTTGGAAGGAAGTGAAGCCAGACACATGTACCACCTGAAGAGAGCCTCCCCATAAGACCATTTGCAGCAATATACAGTGCCACAGAAAAGGGGAGGAGTCATACTTTCAGTCCTGTGGTCCTCCAGGTGTGATGGGCTTCCAACTCCCATCAGCACCAGCCAGCACGGCCAAGGCTCAGCAATGATGGGAGATGGAGTCCAGAAACCTCTGAAGAGCTACATGTTCCCCATCCCTGCCTTATAAAGAGTCAGAGTTTGGTCCATCTGGAACTTCTCCAGCCCTACCCGGAGAGACTTTCCTACATCCATGTGTGCACTTTGCCATGGAGGTATAATCATCCTCACCTTCAAAAAAAGAAGATGGGCAGATGCTGTTGGGTTCTACCTGCCATCTGCTTCAGCCAGAATGGTCAATAGTCAGGGTTGATGGAAGCTGTAATGGTCCCGCAAATGTTGCTGGACCTATCATCCCCTGTGAGCATAGCCAATGGCCAGAGTTGGCAGGTCTTGTAGTCCAAAAGAGGGCCACAGATTCCCCAGCCCAGCTGTAGCATCATTAGACCTGGGATAGCTCAGTCAGGAGAACCTGAGACGCTTAATCTCAGGGTTGTGGGTTCGAGCCCCTTGTTAGGCAAAAGATTCCTGCATTGCAGGAGATTGGACCAGATGACCCTCGTGATCCCTTCCAATTCTGGAGTTCTGTGAGTCTATGAAAGGACGCGGGTGGCGCTGTGGGTTAAACCACAGAGCCCAGGACTTCCCGATCAGAAGGTTGGCGGTTCGAATCCCTGCGACGGGGTGAGCTCCCGTTGCTCGATCCCTGCTCCTGCCAACCTAGCAGTTCGAAAGCACGTCAAAGTGCAAGTAGATAAATAGGTACCACTCTGGCAGGAAGGTAAACGGCATTTCCGTGCACTGTTCTGGTTCACCAGAAGCGGCTTAGTCCTGCTGGCCACATGACCCGGAAGCTGTACGCCGGCTCCCTCAGCCAATAAAGCGAGATGAGCGCCGCAACCCCAGAGTCGGCCACGACTGGACCTAATGGTCAGTGGTCCCTTTACCTTTACCTATGAGTCTATGAATCTAAAGCCCAGCAATAAGAACAGATAATCCAAAGAACAAAATTATCTATTCACACTGCTGCCTCCCATCAGCCAACAGTCAGAGATAATGGGAGCTGGAGTCCAGCAACATCAGGGTGGGGAAGAAATGAGCTCCCCGTCCCTGGCCTAGCCCATTTCTTGAAAGCACAGAAACAATTGAGGACGTACCTGTGCCCGGTTTACGCTTAGCCTTCCTTCTAAAAGCTGCAGGTTTTACCTCTCTCCCTTTTTAAAGGGAGGCGGAGGATTGTGGGGAAAGTCAGAATGTCGAAACCAGGCAGGATCCTTGGGCGAGGTGTCGCCGGGCTGTGGATCCTGGCAGCGGCAAGGGTGTGAACAGAGGGATAATAAGCAAGAGTTATGAAACCCCCTAGTATTGGTGCAGATCCATCAAGTCACCGAGACAAAACCAGAGGAAGCAAAGGCTTTATCTCCTGGAGGATTATGCAAGCGAAACGCTTTTGCAGAAGGCATCTATGCTGGGACAAGGGAAGTCCAGCTGTTATGTCGTGTTAATTATAATATGAGTTATGATGTGTCACGCCACCTGCCTTAGAGATGTTTAATATCCCAGGGAAGGTGTTTAATATCCCAGGGAATGACTCAAGGAGATTTCTGTTCAGACAAACTGTAAAAAAACAACAACACCAAGGTGAATTTAAGCAGGAAAGCACAAGTATTGCTTGCAAGCTGGTCATAGCTTTCATCTTGGCATCTCCATGTATTATTATTATTATTATTATTATTATTATTATTATTATTAAATAAACAGATACATTTGTATATCACTTTACAGTGGTACCTCGGGTTACAGACGCTTCAGGATACAGACGCTTCAGGTTACAGACTCCGCTAACCCAGAAATAGTACCTCAGGTTAAGAACTTTGTTTCAGGATGAGAACAGAAATCGCGCGGTGGCAGTGGGAGGCCCCATTAGCTAAAGTGGTACCTCAGGTTAAGAACAGTTTCAGGTTAAGAATGGACCTCCAGAATGAATTAAGTTCTTAACCCGAGGTACCACTGTATACCTGCAAGTCTCGGGGGTGGTTCACAAGATAAAATCACAATACAGTGGAACCTCGGTTGTCGAACATACAGTATTTTTCCATGTATAACACGTCCCCGTGTATAAGACGATCCCTATTTTGGGGGACTCAAATTCAAGAAAATGGGGGGGAGATGACCCAGAGTTGTTTAGCTTGGGGGGCGGGCATTGCCCAAGGTTGTTGAGCTTTTTTGGGAGGGAGATGTATAAGACTATCCGTGTATAAGACAACCCCCCTTTTTTAACATTATGTTAGAGTTTAAAAAAAAACCTCATCTTATGCATAGAAAAGCATGGTAATCCATTCTGGAAGACCGTTCAACTACCAAAAACATTCGACAACCAAGGCTCAATTGCCAGTTGGCAAAATCCATTGAAAAAAATAGAGGGAAAATGGAGAAATGCGCCTCGGAAGCCGTTCTGCTTCCAAAAATCATTCAAAAACGGAAGCAGCCACTTCCGGGTTCCAAATTGTTCAGCTTCTGAAGCGTTCGAAAACCAAGGTTCCACTGTATAAGAACACAAAATACATTATCAAAATAAAAACAATAACCCC